GCCGGGCCGGTCCAATAGCTTGTAAAATATAAGTAGTTTAGTGAGCGTAAAAAGTTTAAGTTCATGGGAGAGCCCCTGTGTAAACATTCTTGTGTGCATAATGACTACGGTTTGTTTCATTTTCTATAATGGAGTCACTCCGTTCGGGGAAGCTTGTTCCCCTTTCGTTCCTTAGTTTTTCCTTAGCATAATTTTGTTTTTATTCTCTCTCTCGTACCTGCCTGTTTGTCCCATAGGCTATGACCTTGGGAGCTCGAGGCGTGGCCTGCAAGGCTCGGCTGCTCGTAACCGTAGGGAAAGGCAGGGTGCGATTGGTCGGAATGTTTTTAAAGCAAAGCTACGTAAGGCAAATTAAAGGAACAAACTATCCTTTTGGTTGGGTCAGAAGGAATTTCACCATATAATAGTAAACAAAACAGAGAGGTAGCAGTGTGCCCTAGTGGAGCCCCCGAGCGCCCCGGACCAAAAAAGTGTTCGGGTCGGGGTGCTTTTATAGAAGCGTAGACTAAGTAAACAATGGTAAGACTGAAACTTAGGGGAAAAAGCGACATAGTTGTTCCAAGCAGTTGGAGAGAAGGGCATCGTTGTCGTCCTTCGGTCGGTAGGCGTCCGATTAGATCACTTCGTCCTTCAGTTATCTGGATCCTTGCCCGCTACGCCCCCTTTCTCGGTCGCTGCTTCTTTGCCTTTTTCTTCCTTTGGCCTGCCAGCTTGCCGCAGAAGGCGCTTGAGTAGCTCATAGTCCTTGTAGAGGTGTTTTACGAGGTAGTCGTGGTTGGTGCACGGGCTCTCCATGAGCCATGGAAGTGGCCCGAGGGTCCTGCTGGGGCTGCGTGCCCGCATGATCAGTCGTGGCGACCAACGCGGGGTTGGTTGGTTGGCGGTGATTCTTTCTGTTCATTTTCCCCTCTGCGTGGAGGGGCCCTCGTCCTGATCCTAGCGCTTGGCCTTGCCCTTGCCCTGGCCTCCGTCGGAGCGCGGCGGGGGCGGCGTTTGTTGGAGGTTTTGGACAAAGGTCCGCGGTCCCGGGCCATCAGGGCTGGGACTCCGATCGCTGCCGCATGTGTCTCGGTTCGGTTCGAGACATGTGTATACAGGCGGTTGGTGCAGAGCGGTCGTTAAGTCAAGACGAGGTGCTAATGCGGCTTCCTTTGTCGCGCTCGGCGATTGTAGCGGCGATCGGGTCGAGCGACTCATCTGGTGCGTCCCCGTTCCCCTAATGGGGAGCGAGGCCATGAGTCGGCGTCGCGATATGGAACACTCTGCTTGTTGAACGGCGGCGATCTCCACTAGTGCCCGGAGGTTCCGGTGGATCGCCTGTTCATGAGGGTCATTCGGCTCGGACAGGCCGCGCAGAAGCATTGCCGCGACGGCAATGTTCTGATTGACCCAAGCGAACTACGGGGGATCGTTCCCCCTGTCCATGGTGTTGTGCTGGACCCGATGGGTGCGACCCCGAGCGCCGCTCGCCGATCTACGCGCACGGGGCGCAACGTGGTGCACCGAGCGTGTTGGCGTAGTCGGCGGCTGATGCAGCCACTGTTGTCGTAGTTCCTCCCTGTGCTCCTGTGTGAGCTCGGGGGTCTTCGCATGAGAGTCTAGTGAGGTGTGAGTCTGTGAGGACTCCGCTTCTACCGGTGGGTGTCCCAGAGTGTTCACCATGGCGCACTCCTAGGACGGACGGTGGCTAGGTGCCATGTCGCCAATGCTGGAGCCATCACTCTCGCCATCGTCATCCATGAGGTCAAGGAAATAGGTGGGAGCATAGCTCGCCATTCCCATGAATTTGGATGCGAGAGGGGGCGGCGCTGGCATCCTTCGGTGCCCCCGTGCGTTTGTGTCCGCGGAAGATGCGAGGCTGTAGGGGAACCGGTCGTACGGCGGTCGCGTCGGGGACAACGGGGTTCCACCGGGTAATCAGCGAAAGATAGAGAATAGTAAGTAAATAACAGCGTGTACATTACTCATAGCGGGGTTTGAGCAGAGAGTTTGCTCAAAAAGAAGCGCAGATGTCGCGTCGTCGAAGTCGTGCGTCCTGGAGTTGATGGAGGGCACCCCTCCGACGGGTGCCTGGACGTGAGCCTCCCCGCAGAGGCATAGTACGCCGAGCCAGTCGACGACGAAGTCCAGGCTTCCAAAGAGGAAGGCTTGGGATGGCTCGAAAATGGGTGGAACCCGCATCCCAGCTAGTGAGAGTGCAAGAAACTCCAGCGAGCCGAAGCTAATCGTATCGCCCGAGCCCGCCACGACAAGGGTGGCAAAAAAGTGGGCCATCCGATGACCAAAAAGTGTTGAACGTACAACGTCTTCCCCATGGACGGCGCCAACTGTCGGTACAGAATATGACCAACTAGTAAATATTTGTAGTTTTGCCGTACGTTGTGATCGGAGGTGGCCTAGCACTCAATGATATAGGGTTTATACTGATACAGGCAACGTGCCCTATATCTAGTTTGCGTCAGTCGGTGACTTTATTCCTGAGCCTAGGTGCTTGAAGTCTGCAGTGGGGTTATAAACGAGAAGAAGAAAGATGGGGCATACAAGAGGTCCGGTTGGCTCTGGTTGGAAGGGCCGAGAGCGATAAGAGCTCCGCTATGAGCTAAGTGTTTAGGCGTGTGCTTAGGGTTCTAACCCGGTGGTTCTGCGGTTGTGAGCTAGTGAACTTGATCGATGTTGGTTTTCTAAAAAGGACTAAAAAAGCTCTCTTTCGTTGGAGGGAGCGCATCACCTTTTATAGATAAAAGGGATGGCTTTATAAGTGAGAGGGTGAGGGTACGTATGCTACTAGGCTCTGTTGCCCATGCCGACGGGTACAAGATAATGGTAGACGCCTACAACACTGTTGATGTCACTATAGAATGTCAGATGCATGTGGGAGGCTGTGTTGCCTTCTTCAGAAATGGCAGATGTCGGTACCTGCAAATACTGTTGATGCCTAGAGGCATGTGAGGAGTCTCACCACGTTCACCTGGTATGGTAAATCCCGGCGCTCATAGCACTATCGATGCCCAGAGACATGTGGGGGGCCTTACCATATGGGAGTTAACGGCGCCTACAATACTGTGTAGGGAAATATCGGTGCCTACAATACTGTTTGTGTTAGGGCGGTTGCAGAGTACTGTTCCTGCAGGTGTACAGGGTATGGTCCCTGGTATCATTGTTTGACTTGTGCGCCCTGACCTGCTTTCTTCGTTCGTCCCCTAGTTCCTTCCGAGCGGGCGTCCCCGGTCGGATGGGCCCAGTCGGCCCTGGTCACGTCAGTCGGAGAAGAGCGGTGAGCAGGGTTTCTGTGAACCCCGGTTGGAGACGCAGGGTCGGAGTTGGAAGTAGCGCTTCGGGCCAGGTCTTCCGATCGAAGAGGTTGTCCGGAGGCGGCTGGAGTCTGAAGCGAGCGCTCCGGTCGGAGAGGTGGACCGAAGTAGTCGCCAAGCGGGCGTTGTTCCTCTTCGGCCAGACCTTTCGGTCGATGACTGGACCGCCCTTTCGGCCTGTTGTTTTTAGACCCTTGGGCCGACCCATGAGTTGTGTGCTGTCTGCTTGGGCCGAGCCTTGGCGTGGAAGCCGGTTCCCGAGGGGCCCCGGGTTTATGAACCCGACAATACTAATGTTTGAACAATTTTATTTATGAAAATCATTTTAATAAATACTCCAAAATTGAATTCAATCGCTGAAATCCAGGACTTAGGCAGATTTGTCTAAGTGTTGAATTTTAATACTAAGTTCACTTTTGAGGTCCAAATTTTAATGAATTGAACTTGAATTCATACCCTGTACTTGATCCTAGTGTAAAGTACATTCTTTACACTACAAAGTTTATTAAGGTATGTTTCCAAGTATTTTAGTGAATTTTTAAAAATAGAAGGTTACAAAGTACCTTGGAAACATTTTTTGTTCTAGCTCATCCACCACACATATGCATCGCTTCACTAACCAAATAACATTGATTTTAGTAAATGCATGACATGGTTAGCTAAAATGTATGCTTATGATGCTTGATGATGATATGATCAAGTTTTTAGTGACGCTTAACACCAAGGGTGTTACAATATACATACATGCACCCTTCGTTTAATATATTTAATTAAGTTTTATGAACTATTGAATTTAATTAAGTTTTAATACAAAGAATTATGGAGCGTAGTGGGATAAAAAAATTTAGATGGGAGCACACATGACATGATATTTGTATAGATAAGATCAAGTGTCACGAACACGATTGACATTTTTGTTCATACTAAATAGTATTAAGTACAATATGATGGTATGACACTTGTGTTTTCATCTAAGTCACTTCAGCATCAATGTAGACTAATTGTAAAAGATGACGAGAGGATTTAATCTAGGCACCATAAGATAGGGAATGAATTTAGAAAAACATGAAACTAGTTTCATAGTTTTATGAGCTAAACCAAAGTTTATATTATTTTTAAGATTAATTAAATAGTTTTTCGAAAAGTATTTGCAAATATCTTTTTTGAAAATATTGTATAGACCGATTTACCCCCTAAACTATGAGCGGAGTTTGACTTACCCCTTTTAACTGACGTAACACTATATATAGGATGATGGACCGTCATCAAACCCATATAGGATGCAAAACCAAAATAAAAATAAAAATTGAGGGAGATAAAAAGAACCGTTTTGTAGATGAGCAAGGCAAATCGAACGACTGTAAAAATTGATGGGATCAAAAGATGAAAAGACTTTTTCCGAAAGAAAATTGTGTGGGCGCATCTGGGCATGGGCATGGCTTCATTTTGTCAAGCCCATTGTCCCAGCCCAACCCGATGGCTTACATGCCCAAGCCCCAGAAAAAAGCCCATTGCCCCAAGAAAAAAAAGCCCATTCCCACTCCACAGGGCATAGGTCCACAGCGGTCCAAGCGTGTGCTAGCAAAATCAATCAAACTCCACTGCTACCACACACCGCCCCCGCACATCTCGATCTCGTCGTCGTCTCCTCCGGTGGCATGCTCCGCTTCCGCTAGATCCGATCTATCTATGGATCCCCGCCGTCTCCCCTTCCTCCTCTTCCTCCTGCTCGCCTTCGTCTCCGCCGTTGCCGCCTCTGACGAGATCCACGGATGCGGCGGCTTCGTCCAGGTCGGCGTTCCTCATGTTGCTCGATCTCCGTGTGCAGTGTGTTTCACTTTGGTTAGGTGTGGCTTGTTACACTGATGCGACTTGGGGTTTTTGGTGGTTTCAGGTGAGCTCTGGCTTGGCCAAGTCGAGGAAGGCGTCGGATTCCAAGCTCGATTACTCCGACATCACGGTATGCCGTCCGCTCCCGCCCTCGTCAGTTTGTATATCTTGGGACTGTCTTATCCCATCACGTAAACTTGAAGCTTTGTAGTTGCACTCAGCTAGCTGTCCTTGCCTATCGAGCTTTGGCTGGTATTTTTATGCATGATTCGGATAGTCTAAACATACATTTGCTTGAGGTCGTTCACTTGAACTGGACCTCATGGAGAGCTGACCACGTTCTGGTTGCATGATGCTGAGTTGCCGCCGCTGCTCAAACAACTATCTTACTTTCGGATTGCCTGTTGTTCCGTGGTATTCCGATCACTGTCATATGGGTTTGCCTGGTTGGGTTTAGCGAGTCTACATTCTATCCAGACCATTTAGAATTACAATTAGGGCACAAAATGTTGCCCTGCTGGTGTTTTGAGGACTGAAACCATGCTTGTACATAGTGATTTCTTGTTTCTGGTAACTTTGGTGATTGCTGGACACCAATTATGCTGGGGGTGATTTGAATGCTCAGACTCAAAATCCAATTAGGCATAGGACAGATGAACTTTGTGTTAGTTTCATGTATTTTGTGGTTCATGATGGTCAGAATGCTGTAAATGTTTGAAATTCATTTGACGGCTGCTGTAATTTTCTTGAGGTTCACTTTAAGATTAATAGTTGGTGTGTACTCCATAGTCACTTGAATAATTCTCTTAAAGAATTTATACTACTACTAGTTAAGTACTCCATGATTTTCTCTGTGCTATCAGAATTGATATTCTCACCAAGCAATGAATTACCCCTTTTTTTCACTCCTATAAAGGTGTATGCAGTATGTCTCACCAGGCTGTTGTTGACTCCTTTTTATTCACTCCTAAGAGTGTGCAGTATGCTGCAGATGGATATTTTCATCTCGTATAGTGACATATGCAAACTGTAGTCTGTAGAGATTAATATTACTTTTAAGACCTGACTATTATTGTAGGGTTGCTCTATTTGTGTCTGTGCATATTCCGTTAATCATGCTTGTGCTTGGGCCTTGGTTCATATGCTTTTATGTTTATTTATGATTTGCACTAAACCTCGAACTGATTCCTCTCTTAACTTTCTGTATCAGGTTGAGCTCTGCACTGTTGATGGTTTGGTTAAAGAAAGCACACAGTGTGCTCCTAATGGCTACTATTTTATCCCAGTCTATGATAAGGTATCTTTGTGTTTTTTATTTGCTTTAGTTCTGGATTGTCTTTTATGTGTTCTTATTTTATTTACATATACATTTAATTTTATTGCAAGTAGGAGCAAGGGTTAAAGGGCACTACACCCTCTTGTTACAAAACATGTTATGTTTTGGCTACTGTCAGCATGTTGCCCTATTTAAGCTTTTATCATCAATATCCTTTTTAATATTTCAATTGAACTTCTAGAAATAGTATAGCCTGATCTTCCTTTAAAAAAATAGTTTCATACTATTACATCATTGATATATTTTGTATATATTTATACTACTAATTATAGTGATCAAGGTATGTAAGTTCCTAATGAATATTACCAAGATAGTTATTCTGTGACTGTATGACATCCAAAACAGCACCTATTTTTTTACTGGAGGAAGTAGCTAAGATCATAATTTTGATATTCTCTCCCATTGTCACTAAAATAAATTTATCTCTGCTATTTATGCTTGTCGCTTCTGTCCCCACAGGGTTCGTTCATGGTCAGAGTTAAGGGGCCCAAGGGATGGTCATGGAAGCCCGAAACTGTAAAATAATTCCTTGACTGAATCTTTCCTTCATTTCCCTTGTTATCTTTGTCTTTACTAAACACTAAGCGCATTTGTTCTTTTGTTGGATGACATGTTCACCTAACACTTCAGGTTCCTGTCATCGTTGATCACAATGGGTGCAATGAAAATGAGGATATAAATTTCCAATTCACTGGGTGTGTTCCTTTAGCCGTTTAGTTTATTTTTTGTGTGAACAAGAATCACATTGAAACTTCAGCTGTTAATCCATGCATAATTGCATACACCATGCAGGTTTATGATATCTGGTAAAGTAGTGGGAGCTGTTGGTGGTAAGAGCTGCTCAAAAGGGGGAGGACCTGCTGGTGTGAAAGTTGAGCTGATGACAGATTCTGATGAGTTGATTGCATCTGCTTCGACGTCATCATCAGGAGAATATTCATTTACAAACATAATTCCAGGTTTTTCCTTAGTGTCCTTACTATACACGTAAAATTGGTATGTATATGTCACATGCAGTTGTTAGGTAGTTCTAGTTCTACCTAACAGAAAAATGTTATATATGATATGATTCCATTTTTAGCTACTAATGTGATATTTTTGTTTACAAATTCTACCATAAATACTGAGAATGAGTAATTTACTTATTTTGCAATAGCATTTTTGTTACTTTGAAAGTGTGAAATTTGGAATCTGCTTTGATTTGAATTTGACTGAATTCTTACTTTTCCACTGGAAAGTAGGGAGATAATCCTTTCATGACCTGCTCGCCATGTTTCAAATGCCCAAAATATGCCCCCTATGCTCAGCACCTCATACAATCATGGACCATCTAACTTGTTTGTGGTCCTGTCTCCCCTCTCCACGTCCAGCACCTTGGACCACCACATCCCATCAGCCTCTTTATCACCACAGATCATTGGTTTAGTAATATGAGAATGCTGAGTGGGTTATAATTTATTTTCTGATTATTTCTTGATTTCATGTTATGTGCCTCTGCATTGTTAGTGGCCTTAGACTAATATTGTTAAAAACAGTTTTCCCCCACAAAGCCGTTGTGTTTTCTCCTTATGTTTATGCTCCTTTTCCAGGGCGTTACAGATTACGTGCTTCTCATCCTGATTATGAAATTGAGTTGAGGGGCTCACCAGAGGTTAAGATCATGCATGCTTTCCATTGGATGGGATGTTGTTACAATGATCTTATTGTCTTATACAGTACATTTTATTATGTACAGGTTGACTTGCGATTTGGAAATGTCGTGGCAGATGATGTCTTCTTTGTATCTGGATATGATATTTATGGCACTGTGGTTGCACAGGTTGGAAGCTGAATGGTTCTTTTATTGATAATAACTAACACTACAACCACATGATTGCATGTCTGTTTTAAATTTTGATCTGCATTGTTTAGCAAATGCAAATTCTAATGTTGAATGTATTCTATGCATTTTCTTTGCCAGGGAAATCCGATAGTGGGAGTCCACCTATATTTGTATTCAAATGATTTAACGGAGGTCCCTTGCCCACAAGGTTTCAGTGATGCACCCAGGGAAGGTGCTCTTTGCCATGCAATATCTGGTGCTGATGGGAAGTTCACATTTAGATCACTACCTTGTGGTAAGTTGATAATTTATTGAACTAATAAAATGTCACCTTAGTGCAATGGAATCGTTATGTCAAATTTCTTCATGAAAGTTGTTCAGGATTTCCTGTTGGCAATTGACACATGTACATTGGATGTCTTAAAGTGCATCAATACATGAAGTAACATTTTAAATACCTCTGCTCATCTAACTATAAAGTAACAAATAGCCAGCTATAGCTGTTGTATACAGTGTACCGCTATTTGTACTCATGTTGAATTTAGCTCTTTTAGCCCGGTATAGCCTGGTTTTAGCCTTAGGAGAACCCCTACCGCTAAATGCATATAGCCCGCTATTTTAAACAAACCAATTACTAAATATACCACAAAACTGATTCCTTGTATTCATGCAGCACCAATGGTAAACACTTTAATTGTTTGGTCCTGTTCATTGGGATTCCTGTTCTGCTCTTTCTGGGTCCCTAACTCCCTATATGACGTTACTTGTTTACTGTTTACTGTTATATGCAGGTAGCTATGAGCTGTTGCCATACTACAAGGGGGAGAACACCGTCTTTGATATTTCACCATCTTCACTTCCTGTTTCTGTTGAGCATAGTCATTTGACCATTCCCCAAAAATTCCAGGTACTGCCTGAAATTGATTCACATCTTATCGTTTCAGGTATAGAAGTTTCAGTGAAAGTAGTTTGCCTCAGGATGATGAAAAATAAATATCTATTTTCATTCGAGGAAAAAAATATTTGGATTTAAGCACCTGTTGGATAAGCCTTTATGCATTCAGAATAAAAGGTTGTAGAAATGACACATGGATATACAAATAGAGAAGTATACATGATTCTATTAGTCAAAGCTGTCGCAAGGTTGGCTGGGCATAAGTGTTTGTATTGTATGACAGTTGTAGGTTCCTTTTTTTTCCGATTTAACCGATTGATATTCATTCATATGCTCTATTTTTGTTTGTCTTCCTCCTGGATTGTCCATGATTACTAACTTCTTAAGAATTTCTTGTATAAATTTAACTAGGTTACTGGATTTTCTGTTGGAGGGCGTGTTATTGATGGTTATGGTGCTGGTGTGGAGAGTGCCAATGTTGTAGTTGATGGGCAGTTGAGAGCCATAACAGATAGTCTCGGATACTACAGACTTGATCAGGTATTAGACTGATTTTATTTGACATATGAAAACTATCATATATGTTGATCTTTGAAGTCCATTCTCATGTTAATGTCACCTTCTCTTTGTGCATTCATGCCCACAACTGTTTTCTTTTTTGTTATGATGAACTTACCCAAATCGTTCTATGACTTGGTTTCTTTGTTATTCAATATGGTGTTTGTGGTGCAATCTAGCAATTTGCAAGATGATGATAATATTTAAGCATTACTTATTGATATTTGACAGTGAAAAGTAACATAATTAATTAGCTACAAAAGGAAAGAGAAAATTATGAACTCAGTTTAGTGGGTCAACATATGTCTCATATAAAAGCTGCAAGTTTATATTAGAAACTAGATATGTCTTGCATAGATATTAATTGAGATGCCCAAAATTGAAGTGTCTGTATTTTTAATGCTTATGAGCGATACTAATAAGCTAAATTCTACTGCATATTGAAATAGGACAAGACAAGTAGGGTAATACCTGATATATGTTTCGTTACAGTCTGATTGGTTGCCTGCATTAGAGGCTATCCAGGCTAGTGGGCTGCAAACTTCTGGTGTTTGGTTGCCTGTATAGGGCCTTATACAGGCTTGCACGCTGCTTAAAGCATCATGTGGGCTGCATTCACAAAAACACAAGTGGTGGGCATACTAGGCTATGCAGGCCGCGCCAGTGCAGCTTCTGCCCCTGCCCCTGCCCCTGCATCAGCTTTTGCAGCAATTCGCAAGGGTATCTCTGATACACTCACCTGTGTCGCCCTCGCTCGCTCTCGCCAACATTGGCACTCTTCCCAAATTGCTCCTCCCTCGCTCTCGTTCTCTTTTGGTCCCTGCGTCTCCTCTGTCGCCGTTGTTCAATTCATTGCTGGAGACGCAGAATCTCACTACCAGCTGCCACCAAATTGATTGTCCATCCTAGTCACGTTCTCTTCCTCAGTATTCTCATCTCAAATCACTTCCAATAGTTGCTGAATTGTAACCCTAGTAGTGCAAGAGATGGTGCAAAGGGACCATCTCGTTTGAGCTGTGAGTACGGCAGCGGTGTTGGACCTCAACGATCTTGGTAGTGGTTTGCTGGTCCTTGATGACCTCTGCCATGGGTCCTCCTCACGTCACCTCCCTCACCTTTGCTCAATTTAGCATCCGCTCTCCTCATGATGTGCCATAGCCCACATGCTCTGTAAGGTATTCTTGATTTGTTTGTCACTGAAGATGAGAGGAGTACACTCGTTAAGAGTAAAATGGAAGTGCAAAATCAGAGTTTTTTTTTTTTCAGGTTATGAGAACTTAGTCTGAACCTTGAATGTACAGACTACTGTGCTGCTTGTTTATAGTTGTTAAAAGTGCTCATATGTTGGTGTCAGGAAGCAAGGTTCCAAAACGCGTTCTTAAGCACCCGCTTCCCCGCGCATAAGCGGTAAGCAGGGGGGCACCGCTTCGCTTTGGGGCATAAGCGCTCCCTAAGCAGTGCCGGCACTTGGGCGGGCGCGGATGCGCGTGCAAGCAGCAATTGCTGCGCCGCGGGCGGGCACCAGGCGCTGCCAGTGCCCGGTGGGGAGTCGCAGGCGGGCGTCGCCGTGGTGGAGCAGTGGTTGCTGGCTCGCGCTGCTCAGGTGGAGGAGCGGCGCACAGGCGGGGGAGCTGAGGAGCAGCAGCGCACAGGCGGAGGAGAGCAGAGGAGCGGCGGCGCGCATGCGGAGGAGCAGAGCGGGGGCGCGCAGGTGGAGGTGAGCAGAGGAGCGGCGGCGCACAGGTGGAGGAGAAGAGGAGCGGCGGCGCGGCCTCGTGAGAGCGAGGACCGCCAACGGTGGTGGCTGCCTGTTAGGGCATCGTTGGGTGTTATAATGTTTAGATGGGCTAGTGGGCTTCCTCTCTTGATGGGCCGAGTGGGCTGTTATGGTACTGCTCTTCCTTTTCTATTAACTCTCACATTTATGCAACCAAATCTCCTGATTTGTAGTTAGTGTGGAAACGCTTAAGCGACGCTTAGAACGCTTAAGCCCGCTGAAGCGCTAAGCGATGGGACACCGCTTAGCGCTTAACGCTTTTTTTTAACTGTCAGGAAGTCAATGTATTGGAAGAATTTTCATACAATGTAACTTTGTGATTGTTACTTCTGATTATAGTTTCGGGTGCTTATTGTTGCTTCTCGTAGCTTGATTGTAATTTCAAAGAGATCCCTACTGTATAAACATGTTTCAGTTTTGAGCATAAAAATCTGTTGTTTTGGTCTACGACACACGATTATAAATATCCCTTGGTTGAAACTTGTTTTTGTGAACTGAAACCTTGGCATCCTGACTTCTTGAGTATTTCTGTAGACGTAAACCTTGGTACTGAACTTCATGAGTATTGATTGGTTTCAAAATCTTTGGTTACAGTCAATGCTCAAGGATTCAGATGTTGTCATGTGAGCTATTCTAAATCAGTCTGATGCACTTGTGCACCGAGATTGAGGAGAGAATGGATAGAATGGTTATAAAAGTTCAAACTTAAAAGGGCCTTCCTAGGTTGGTAATCTCACCATGAAGCTCAACTTGGTGAACACATGTGGTCCAATCCAAGCAACCAAATGCAATCTTTTGCATTCGTCAATGCAGTCCAACCCCTTATGCAACCGACCAAACATAGGCTCACCTAGTCCAAAGAGCCCTGTGCAACACAACCAAACGCCACCATAATGCATACAATTAGCCTGGCTTGGATTGGCCTTCATTAGCCCTTATGCAGGCTTAGGCTTGTCCAAGCAACCAAACAGACCCTTAGCTACCTCTTTGTTATTCAGGCACAAGTACCATATACAAATTAGTTCTTACCATATACAAATTAGTTCTTTCTGCAATTTACAGAAATAAGCAAAGCAATGAGGCCAAAAAAAAGAGAGGAAAGAATGGATTACGTGGTAGAAGACAAACCAAACATAGTACCTGATTATTAACCTGTAAAAATAAGTGAACTACCAGATTCATGCACCAAACCATTTCACTCTGATCATGTTATAAGTAGGAAGGGGTATCAGGTGGAGGCGTACTCGACCTCAAACAGAGGCTCTGAGCAACCTGATTAAGTGGAATTGAGTCTATTGCTTTCTTGATTACAATGACTCAGCCGATACTCTATATAGAGGCAGCTCTACTCCCTGTCTTACAACCTTCTACTTCTCCTATCTGAAATGGACTCTGAACTAACTCTGAGAGAAGCTAAACTGACGCTAACAACTAGGCTTCGGCCACTTGTGGACACAGCTCCCTCCTTGGGACGTGCATATGCCTTGCTGATGAAAGCGTCACATCACCATTCAAATGGGAAGGGTTCATAATTGTGTTTTCGCCATCACTTGTTCCCTCAAATTCAACCGTTTTATAGTTTGTGCACCAGCTCAGTGCAGCACTTAAATTTAACCCACTATTATCAGGTCCTCATTTGTAATAAATTGTCATTTGTGCTGCCATTGTGTAGGTTACATCCAAGAAGTATACTATAACTGCTGAGAAGGATCATTATAAGTTCAACCGTTTGGAGAATTTTATGGTAATATTAAGTTTGCTTGGGGGAATCTTATCTTCAGTTAGATCTACAGCTCAAATGCCCCGGGTTTCATGTTTTAACTAAATACATTCTTTTCCATTAGATTTTACCAAATTTGGCCAGTATTGATGATATCAGATCAGTTAGATATGATGTATGTGGTATTGTTCGAACAGTTACTCCGAATTCAAAAGCAATGGTACTATCTTAATCCTTCCTTTTGTTTTGTTGAGATCACTTCAAAAACTATCCTTACAATTGTGATGGGATGGTAGGTTACTTTAACACATGGACCAGAAAATGTAAAGCCACAGCGGAAATTAGTGGGTGAAAATGGACAATTTTGCTTTGAGGTATGTGTTCTCCCCCTTCTTTTTGCCTCCTTGCAAAAAATATATTATACTATTACCTAGTAATGTGTAAGTCCTTTGAGTATGGCTAACTTTTCTGTATGAATATATAAGTTATGCATTATGTATTGCAATTTAAACTTGTGTGGTGATCTTCTTAATTTTCAGAGTGGTCCTATCTTCCATGTTATTATGTTTAATTTAACAATAGCAATGTATGAATATATAAAATTCCAGTTTATAGGAATATATGAATATATAAAATTCCAGTTTCAGTAATTGTTTATATCCTTGTGAATTATGGTCTTATCTTGGCATGAACCAGTATACGCTGCTAATAGCTTCTACACTGAATCTTGATTTAAGCCTTAGATGGCATTATTACTAATTATGCTTTCTTTGTTGCACTTTGCAGGTTCCTGCTGGTGAATACCAGTTATCTGCATTACCTGTAGATTCCGAACGTTCTTCTAGTCTTATGTTTTCACCAGGATCTATTAGCATCAATGTAAATAGCCCGTTGCTTGATCTGGAATTCTCTCAGGTAGACATGAGCATTACTTTACCCCATGTTTTCCTTAGAAATACTGTGTTAGCTTCCATCAAGCTTGATAGATGCATTCTAGGTTGAGATAATATCTGAGAGGATTATATCTCTTTGTTGGCAGTCACAAGTCAATGTTCATGGTAAAGTCTCATGCAAAGAGCAATGCAACCAGAACATTCTGGTCTCGCTTGTTAGATTGGCTGGCGGTGTTGAGCAGGAAAAGAAGACAGCTACATTGGAGCAAGATAATGTCAGTTTTGTGTTCAAGAAAGTATTTCCTGGAAAATATCGTGTAGAGGTAAGATCTTGTGTGATAGTCACTGTAAAAAAAAATTACTCTTTACATGTAGAGTGTCTGTCTAGTCTTTACTATTTTCAATATATTCCTTCTAGGTGAAGAATTCTTTACCCGAGGGCTCAGCTAAGGATGATTGGTGCTGGGACCAAAGTACCTTGAATGTAGATGTTGGTACTGATGATGTGAGAGACATTGTGTTTGTACAAAAAGGCTACTGGATTGAGCTAGTTTCAACTCATGATACTAAAGCTTATATTCAGCAGCCAGATTCTTCTAGACTTGATTTGTCGATAAAGGTCCTACCTCACAACTAGAGAAATCTACATTCTTTTTTATCAATGGAACCTTCATTTGACACAGTCCTCTTTTCTTCTTGAACAGAAAGGATCTCAAAGGATTTGTGTTGAAACTTCAGGGCAACATGAGATTCATTTAACTAATCCTTGTATTTCCTTTGGGAGTTCGTCTGTTTTGTTTGATACAGCTAATTCGGTGGTAAGTTTTTTTTCCTACTTTACAAGATATATTCCTGCAAGGTTCTTTTTGGCACCCTAACATTGAAAGTTTATCTTTTAGCCGATTCATATCAGCGCAAAGAAGTATCTTGTAAAAGGTGAAATCCATGTGGACATGAGCTCCCTTCAGGAAAACATTGATTCCAAGGATATAGTCGTGGATGTCTTGAAGAGTGATGGCAGTTTCGTAGAAAAGATATCCACTTCACTTGTTCTTGGAAAGGATAATCAAAATGACTTTACTGCCTTTGAGTACTCTATTTGGGCTGACCTTGGGGAGGACTTCATCTTTGTCCCCCATGATTCTAGGTACTACTCCATTATCCTTTTTTATTATTGTCCTTAATCAGAATTTGTCTCTAATTTTGTTGGCAACTAAAAAATTGTTCTGCCTAGGACCCTTGTTTTACCTTTATTGCAGACTGCTTTATTTTGTTCTTTTTTGAAGATTGCTTTTCTTTGATCAGCAAATAGTCATGTAAATGAATTTATTATACTGACATGATTTGCATATTTGCAGCACTGGAAGGAACAAGGTCCTATTTTATCCAGCAAAACAGCAGGCGAGTTACAGTCAATAAGTAAACTTCTTTTTATTTGAAACCATTGTTCTAATTATTTTATCATTTAAACTGCAGTATTCAGTGTCTACGGATGGATGCCAAGATACCGTTCCTCTAATCACTGCAAAAACTGGTCTATACCTTGAAGGATCAGTGTTACCTGCAACTTATGATGTTGACATCAAGATTCTAGCAGCTGGAAAGAGCAACTATGCCCATCTGAACAAAGGGGATGTAGCAACAGAGACAAAGACAGATTCTGAAGGATCATTTTTTGCAGGTCCTTTGTATGATGACATAGCATATAAAGTTGAAGCTTCAAAGGTTTGTATTACACTTTGAGTATACCTATTTGGAGTAAAAAATATGACTAACATTTATACAAAAAGTACTAACATTTATGAAACTGAATAAGTACCATTGGGTTAATCACGGAATATATTTTCATAGTGTACCTATTTGGAGTAAAAAGTATTGATAATATTTTCTATAAACTTGGTAAAAAATTAAGCAAGTTTGACTCAATAAACCCAGAATTGCATCCTTTTTGGGACGGAGGTAGTACAACACAACGGTGTACTGTTCGTGCAGGAGCATCACTGTCTTTACATTCTGTTTTAGATAATGGAAATAAACTTGTGGCCTCTGCTTCATGAACACATGTGGCCTAGTACATAGTAGAAAGTTTCAGCATTAAGCTGAAAATTCAACCTTTAACCAGTAATTGCAAAAGTGGTGTTTTGTTGAATATCCTATTTGATATCATTTTTCACCTTCATGCAGGATGGTTACCATCTCAAGCAAACTGGCCCATACACCTTTTCTTGTCAGAAGCTTGGTCAGATATCAGTGCGGATTTATGGTGAAAATTCAGAGCTTTTACCTTCAGTATTATTATCTTTGAGTGGCGAGGAAGGGTACAGAAATAACTCAATTAGTAGTTCTGGTGGAACTTTCACCTTTGACAACTTATTTCCTGGAAGTTTCTATCTCCGACCACTTCTGAAGGTGCTTTGTTTTTCTGTGCGCTCTTTCAGTCAATCTTCTTTTTTTATTTATAACACAGTCAATCTTTTTTGTGTTTATTCTGCTAAATAACACAAAAGGAACTTGCCATAAATGGTTAATTTGGATCTGCAACATTTATCCTATCTGTGGCCATTCCATGTTTATTTTATGTAGTTTTATTTATGTGATTCACTTCTGACTGAAGTTTCCATCAAGTCTCTAAGATATATAATATTTAATGTATGAGTTTTCAAAATTTACAATTTCTTCTAAATATCCCTGATTTGGGTTGAGTTTAAGCTTAGGTGATTCTGTCACCACATAAACTTTTAGTCAGTTCATACTTGGACACAGCTGTAGAAATTCGAAATCAGTGCATCCAAGGATTCAGCATAAAATGTGTATCAAGTCTTTGAAAAGTAACTTAAGTTGTAGAATTATATTCAATTTTCTGGAGAGCGGCTAATGGTTTGATATTTCTGCTGTAGGAATATAAATTCAATCCGTCAGCAGTAGCTATTGATCTTAATTCTGGAGAGTCTAGGGAGGCTGAATTTCGTGCAACCAGAGTGGCTTACAGGTTTGCTTCACTGTCTATTTATGCATAAGTATTTTATTCTCTTATGTCTTGCTTTGAATGCAAAGAAGCACAGTAGCAGCTTGCAGAAAGTTCGTGTCCTTTCTTAACTCCACAATGAGACATTCTTTAAATTATAATCTCTGTATTTATTATTATATTCCACCATTTATGGATCCATAGGAGGATCTGTTCCAGTTACCCAACAAAGGTTACTACACCCACATTAGTGTCTGACTGATAATGTTGAATTATGGATACCTTGCTTAACCCATCCTGTTATTTAATAGTTTTGTTGTATGGTTCCCACATCATGTGCACACAAAGCTCTTAATGGTCAGTTAGGATAAGGTCCATGCTGGTGCTTGAAAACTATTGCTGTGGATATGCATTACTAAGTCTTAATTGTGGTCGCTGGCCAATCTTACGATACTAACTCATGATATTTCAATGTAGTGCCATGGGTTCTGTAACACTATTAACTGGCCACCCAAAGGAGGGTGTTTTTGTTGAAGCAAGATCTGAATCCACAGGTTTTTATGAGGAAGCTACCACAGATTCTTTTGGTAGATTTCGTCTTAGAGGACTTGTGCCTGGATCAACTTACTCTATAAGAGTGGTTGCAAAAGATAATCTTCGGTTTGCAGCAGTTGAGCGCGCTTCACCTGAATATTTGTCGGTTAATGTAAGTCTAACATAAGCATTCATTGCACATTCTGCTTGCAGCATATCATATTCTCAATTATGAATGAGGAACTTCTTGTGCTCCTTTTATTGTTTATGCTTAACAGCATTTGCATTTCTAGGTTGGTCGTGAAGACATTACTGGTATTGATTTTGTGGTTTTTGAACGCCCGGAAGTAACAATCTTGAGTGGTCATGTGGAAGGAGATGGCATTGATACGTTACAGCCACATCTCTCTGTTGAAATCAGATCAGCAGCAGACCCGTATAGAGTAGAATCTGTACTTCCTGTTCCTCTTTCGAACTACTTTGAGGTGCGAGATTTGCCCAGGGGCAAGCATCTTGTTCAGCTTCGATCTGGCCTTCCATCACATACACATAGGTTTGAATCAGATTTAGTTGAAGTAGATCTGGAAAAGGAACCCCAAATCCATGTTGGCCCCCTCAAATATAAAACTGAAGAGCGTCATCAAAAGCAGGTAACTTATCCACAAAAGTTGCATGAGCATTGCAGTGTTCTCTTGACATTGTAATTTTGCATTCTCAAACTTGAAGAGATGAAATCAGTAGTTATCCTGAACATGAGGGGTATTAAATATTGATGTCCTCGTTTATACAGCACTGAGATATCTTATGTGCTCTATAATGCAAGAACAGATAATGTTGCAAGCTATCTTTCTCTATGCATCCTAGATTTACAAATGAGGTAGAAACATATAATATAATTTACCTGAATTCTTGTTTAGTTATGCGGGGCTTGGAATTTTGCTGGGGACTGGTGGGGTAAATGAAATTCACTACTCATTCCTACTGATTTGGTCTAATGCCTGAATACCCGAATAAAGTATCAAGTGTACTGGAACGTAAATATGTTAGTGAGTCAAATTTAATTGCATTTTTGTCTGTTTAGGAGATCATATAGTTTTTTTTTGTATGATGCAGGAACTGACCCCAGCACCAGTTTTTCCGCTTATTGTTGGAGTTTCTGTGGTCGCACTGGTGATCAGTATGCCAAGGTTTGCTGCTATCTTACAGAGAATCTTATGGTGCAACCTTTGGTAACTATGGGTTAGTAACTATTTTCTGTAATGTTTTGATCTGTACAGGTTAAATGACTTGTACCAGAGCGCTGTTGGGATGACTTCTCTGGGTTCGGGGATGGCACCAATCAAAAAGGAGCCACACAAGAACATAATTAGAAAGAGAGTGTAAACGGCAGATTAGCTTAGCCTTAGGGGTCGAGAAATGAGCACTGACAAATTTTGCTGATGAAAAGGAATCTGACAGTTTTGATACCTATTGAGTTTTGACATTATACTGGCATCAAGTGTTGACTTCAAGTGTTGACGCCAAAGCTGGGCGTGTAGCTCTTCGATCCAATTGTTGTACGATAGCACTATGTACAGTTTTTCAAGCCTTAGATGATGCCGTTGATATACTTGTAATCGGGGAAACCACTTTTCTCTCAAACCTTTTTACAAGTCATTTGCAATTTTAGAAACTATCAGCCTGTTCGGCTGGGGTGAAACGATCGTAAATTTTCAGTCAAAATAGTATTTTTTTCTCACACAAACCAGCCAGAAGAACTTCACGAACCAGCCTATAAACGAACAGGCTGTATATAAAGAGAGCGAGTTGTTGCATCATGAATGAACTTTCTCACCATGCTGTCCATGCACGTTCAAATAGGTTAATCCGAGCGATCCAGTACTAGAGTAGAATAGAACAAGTTTGTTGTGACACGTTGTTTGCCCCTCTTTGATAGTACAACGACGAAGTAAAACGTGCACTATAGCCTATGGATCTCTTCACCATTGGGCAGATAGATGTGGATTCAGTGGGTCAGTTGGATCTGATGCATTGAACCAGCATGGGTGACCACTTCAGAGTCTTCAGATTACATGTCCCCCTCCGCCTCAAGTTTCAACTACCCAGGTCAGATCCTAAGTACGTCAGATCCATGGATGAAATGTGGCATGTTCTGCCCGTGCCAGGTATTTAATGTCCTTTCATATCCGCCTGTATTTGAATTTGAATATTCAATGCCCAATATTAAATCTGAATTCGAATATTTAAAGTTACATATTTGATATGGAAATATAGTATATTTATATTAGTATCCGACTATTTCTTGACCCAAATTATCCATTTGGATCTGTATCTCGTTTCCAGATATTTAATGCCCTTTCGTCATATCCGTCTGTATCTGAATTTGAATATTCAATGCCCAATATTAAATCTGAATACGAATATTTAAAGTTACATATTTGATATGGAAATATAGTATTATATTAGTGTCCGACTATTTCTTGACCCAAACTATCCGTTTGTATCTGTATCGATGCACCTGACAATATCCCCTGTTAAAATGCCCCAATATTATATGGCCCTGTTTAAGAGTAGGATTATTTCAAGTCCTATGTTTTTTCAGTGAAATCAATTCCTATAAAATTTCTATACAACTTCTATGAAATTTCCGTATTACGGACTCTTAGCTTTGTTTTCTCTTTGACATGCCGCTACACCTGACAGCATCCAGTAGTACAACCACATAACTAACTGATTAGTACTATCATCATTCTTTTTATGTTTCTTTTTGAGACAACCTACCCTGTTTACTTGCTTTGACTTGAAGGCTCTGCAAGCGTTTCAAAACGCTAAACGAAAAAGAGCATTGATCTGGTGAGGCATCTATCTGTGTACCAAGCTACCAACCAGCAGCCAACCAACCAAACGTGTCATCCTCTTTTCAATCTTGGCACAACCAAACTTAAGGCATCGGACTGTACAATGAAAGGAATCATTAGGTGGCCGGACTGCTACATGGAACTAACTAGCTAGACGCACGTTGACACCTACTGGCCTTGTTCTGTTGGGGGTTAGCGTCAGGGAGCGTTATCCCGGCCTGCCCATGTTGTTTAACAGCAAGATCGCGACGCGCCGGCTGACCAGTCGCTATACACGGATGGCATGCATTTGTTTGGTCCAAGCTGTATGTTCTTAACGAAAGGCCGGCTGGAACTAGAAGGTTCTTTCAACTAGAAAATGGGAGCAAATCTGTCAAAAATGTATAGGGAGGTATTGGTCAGCTTGGAGAGAAAGGGACCGAGCAAATAAATTAGCAGTTGACTGATTTTTTTTATATAAATGAAAGGTACACTTTTATAAGAAAAAAATCGTTAGGGCAACTCCAAAAGACTCTATATCCTTCCTAATTTACATGAATAGAGATTTTTTGAAGAAATATCCTCCAACAGTCTCTTTAATTAGATCTTCAATATAGACATCCTATATTCTAAATTTCTTGCTAGGCAAAGATTGAGAGTGAAAATAGCTCTCTAAAGTGTGCATAAGATATAGAAAAGTTATTGGCTGGTATAAAGATATATAAAGCGATTTTTACTCAAATAAATCTCTAAATGATGATTTAAAGAGTAAATTTTAGAAAAACTCTTGCAAATACTCTTATTGGAAAGCATCATATATGGTCGCTTACTAGTGAAAGAAAGATGAAAGAATAATCATTTTACATCATCTAGATAGGGACAATGTAAAAAATCTCGAACGGGTGGGGGGGTGTTGACGGTTCTTAACTCATAATTTACACCGCCAATAATTATATAAAAATTATCAAAAACAATCACAAAACTAGAAATAGGCCTTTCAACTAATCATTTCCACAAGTTTTGGTGGAACATTTGTTTGAAGGTGACCAACATTGAAATACACCAAAGTGAGCCCAAGTGCAACACTTACATAATTCAACCCAGAGCAAAAGAGGGAACAAAGAACTTGTACCTGACACGTTTGCACCGAAGGCCCCGTGGGAATGCGCTCCAAGTCCAGCCAGCAGCCCACCGTGCGAAGGTGGTGGTGAACGGAGCCGGTCAAGGGGTGGCCAACCCCCAACTGGCGCCGCTCGTCCCGTCCTTCGTCTGACGGTGGCATGGAAGCATGCAGAGGCGGTGGAAGCTAGGTGTTCGCGCCAAAGATAGCTGCAGCACCACCTTACTCCCCTGTATAAAATAGAGGGGTAGAGCTCACCTCTACAACACACGACAAGAAAGCAAGAAAAGAAGAAGAGCATTACTACTTTAGCTTAGCTAGAATAAGAGAGGGGTGAGAGAGGAAAGAGTTGGAGAAAGTGTCGGGTTTGTCGGCAACCTCCCTTAGTCTACTCGCTACACTTAGCGGAAGAGTGTCAGAGCTAGCAACTCCTCCACTTGTACCTCTACGATCATCTTACTGTTTAACTTCGGCACTGATTTCTTAAGAAAGCTACCTTTGTTCATTATAAACTTGTGGGTTCGTCGTCCTGTCTTCGTGGCGGGTACTCTAATAGAAGGGCCCTGATAAAGATGGATAACCCTTGCATGCGCGCTAGAGTAATAGTCGATAGCGTAGATGTAGTGTCTAGGCTAGAAGCTATCTTCGTTTGCCTTGTTCCCCACGGTTGAGGGGTAGGCGACGGGTGATGACAGCCCTGTCCGTCCCTTGAAATCCCCCACGTCCGGGTTCGACGTAGAGCTACAGGCCGGCAATCCTTGGCGGTGCTCGAAGCAAGTTTGTAGTGACGAAGTTATCTTCGCTTAGGATATCTATCCCTAGAAAAACCTCACTACCCAAGCTGCCCTTTACTTGTTTTCTTTAGGTGAATTAGCTAAGAGACTTACACATCCGTTCCTTTGAAAAATACAATACCCTGAATATTTTCGGTGAAGTGCTACAACGGTGTATCCGTGCGCTTGTGGATTCCTCTGCTTACGCTAAGAAACATCAACAGTGGGTGGGTGGGTGGGGGGGCAAAACGGCCCCAGAGCATTCTGCTTAGGATAAAAAGGTAACCTTCTCACGAAAGTCCAAAAACCTATGTGAGAAACTAGACCGGTTATTAGACTTATACTTTGGCGTGGGACAAACGACTGGATTTTTTTAACTTCAATCCTAGCCTTCCTTCCCACGGGAAGTCGAATCAGGACATGAGTAGTGCTACTAAACCACCTAACTAACTCGGCTAGGCACATGTTCGTAGATATGGACAATGTAGCTCAGCAACAAGAAAAATATTTTATCCTAAGAACGGACCCAACAAAAAAGGACATATTGAAGCGCTACAAACAATAATCCAAACAACTTGGAGTCACACTTTGTCATATTTATTCTACTAAACCACTAATTATCTATATAATTTTCATATTTATTCTTAGTTCATTAGAAACATAATAATACCTAACGTGGCAACTTTGTCAAATTTTTATGACAGCCATCCAAACAACATCCACATAATTTTGCCACGGCTTAGTAACAAACCCAACACTTGGATTTTGCCACAGAATGTGGCAAGCCATGGTGTGGCAAATACTTAATCTTAGGTGTGGTAAAATGTGACGGCAACCAAACAGGCCCTTACGTGATACTATAATAGTGTCTTTGTAGTCTTTATAGAGAAATAGGTAGCACAATGGAGACCATAATAGTGACCGTTAAATACTTGAATAGTCACTCCTTCCGATTCCAAATGTAAATGATTCTAGTCGTTCAAAATTGTTGGACTAATGGACTCTGACGCATTAGCGAAGTATATGAAAAAGTTAACTTGATTGACAAATGACAACACGGGTTGACTTTACAGGTCTTTGGTAGAAAACATGTTCCCATTTTCAAAAGGTCTGTGAGAGTTTGTCTTGGTTGAGTTTGAACACCTCATATAAATATAGTACTAAGTATTTTGCAAGAGAAATCGGATTCTGCTGATTTGTACTACTGATTTGTTGTGAGAGAAAAATAACGTTTCACAGCTAATTTATATAAATTAAAGCCGGCTGAATAACACGAGTAAACAGAGCCTGATTTCTCAAATAAAGCCGTCTGAATAGCACAAGTTGGATGTGAAAACCGTGGCCACGAGATGTTACCGCTGGTGCATCCATCCGAGCGTCCGACGAACAGGTAAGCTAGGACCGACACGCCACCTGTACAGCCGCCTGAAAATTTGAACCGAACCTCTGAACGGTAGAATAAACTCTCTGTCTCTGCACACCGGGACCCACGCGGAGACAGCCCTCTCGTGTCCTGCTCTCCCCATGGCGTTCAATGCCGCGACCTCGGGATCTTCACCCGACTAAAAAGCCCACAGCGACGTGGGCACGGTGGCAGGTCTGCCTGCGTGCGGCCCACAAAAAGTCCACTGGTCTAGCCATGCGGACGAATTA